CTCGGGGCCGTGCGGGGAGCGGGGGAGGGGAGCGGCGCCGGCGCGGCCACCCCGCCGTGCTTTTTCGCCGCCACCGTTGCCGTTGTCGGTCTGTCGTAGTCGGGGCAGGCGGTGCGGCGGCCACGGCGAGTTGGGACTCGTCACCGAGCGCCGCCCGGGCTCCACGCGAAAGGGCGCTCGCCGTACCGAGGGGAGGCTCCCTCCCGGCTGCGGGGCTCGCGCGTCGGCCGCTCGTGACACGGCGCGGGGCGGCGTCGTCGTCGTCGTCGTCGTCGCACGCCACTCCGAACCTATTCCGGCGGAGCTCCTCCAGGAGGGCGTCGGCGTCACCGTCCGGGCTCTGCCGGCGCCGTGCGTCCCTCCCCCCCCCACCACGCTGCGAGCACGGCGGCGCAGCGCGACGGCGGTGGCAGTCACGCTGTCGCGGCGCCCTCCGGGGCGCGAGTCGTCGTCCGCCTCGCTGTCGTCGACAAGAACGCTCCGCGCCGACGCTGCCCCCCCGCTGCTGCGGGCGCGTCGGTGGCTGCGCCTGAGGGAGCCCCGCCCCGGCGTTATTTGTCGCCGCCGCTGCCGAGAAGGAGGAGGGGCAGTCGGGCCCCGGGTCCCCCTGGAGCGTCTTGAGCTCCTCGCGCCGGTCCTGCGGCGGCGGATGAGGCTCCATCACGTCGTGCATGCGCCTGCGGGTTTGCGCGACGGCCGCTCCCCTCCTTCCCCGGGGGTCCCCCGGCGGGACCTCGCGCCGTCTTCCTTCGGGAGGCGCCATCAGCAGCGCCGTTGCCGCCGGCGGCCTGAACGCATCGCGAGTGTTGTTTGTCGTCGCCGTCGGAGAACGGGCGCTGGCGCGAGAGGTCCCTGGGGCGGAGCTGGCGCCGCTCCAGGTTGCCGCCGCTGTCTGGTCTCGGCATCCTCCCGGTGTCGCGCCGGTACAGGGGCCGGCGGAGGCCCAGCACGTCTGCCGCGGAGGTGGAGCTGAGGGGATTGCCGCCACCGCGGTCGTTGTCGTGGCGGTCGTGGTCGTCGCGGGTAACGGGGACGTGGGGACAGAGATCGGTCGCGAGGCTGCAGAGTTGGGAGGTCGCGGCGAGTGGAGAGGTCGCGGCGAGTGGAGAGGTCGTGGCGAGACGAGGAGAGGTCACGGTAAGCGGAGAGGTCGCGGGGAGGGTCGCGGTGTGAGGAGGGGAGGCCGCGGCGAGAGGAGGGGAGGTCGCGGCGAGCGGGGGGGTCGCATTGAGAGGAGGCGAGCTTGCGGGAAGCGCGAGGCATGGCGTCCCTGTTCGTCCACGTGATGTCACGCGTCAGACGGGAGAGCGGCATCCTTAGGAGACGGAAGAAACAACATCGTCATCGGGAAGCGTTTCACCCCGTGGGCTATTCGAGGAAAGATTTCGATTTAAGCTTTCGTGACTGCAGGGATTCATCTTCTTGGTTCTTTCGGTAAAGTCACGTAGAAGGGAAATAATAAAATAATAAAAATAAAACATAATAAAATTATTCTCACGACGTTTCGGCCACAACGAAAGTAGCCGTCCTCAGGTGAAGAACAGGTCTGTCGAGACAGACCTGTTCTCCAGACAGACCTGTTCTCCACGACGTTTTCTTGGTTCTTTCGGTAAAGTCACGTAGTAGGGACAGCCCTGTTCTTCACCTGAGGACGGCTGCTTGCGTTGTGGCCGAAACGTCGTGAGAATTATTTTATTAATGTTTTATTTTATTATTTTATTATTTCCATTCTACGTGACTTTACCGAAAGAACCAAGAAGATATTCGAGGAAAGGTCGTGGGCCACGGTTATGATTCTGGAATACTTCTACACCGAGCTGCTGCCGGTAGGATCTTGTATCGCTGTCAATAACACGGCGTGGCCTTCAATGGAAACACAATAGGCGACGTTTCGGGCAATAGCCCTTCTTAATAGCACGCGTAAACGTGTGCGACCCGCCATCAATCACCCAACACCATGCGCTGCTTGTACTGTACAGCTATGCTCCCTCACACGGTCCGCACCTTCACCACCACCGCCACCACCATCGCCGCCGCCACCACCAAACCAAGCCGCGATGGACCAGCGCGGTGAAGTATGGTCAAGTAGCCCCCCCCCACACACAATGGTGGGGGGGGGGGGGTTAGGCTCTCCTCATCCAGCAGTGGATTGTACAAATTGGCCGTGCGTGTGCGAGGCAATGTACACGTTCGAGATTTGAAGTTTTCGTGACTGCAAGGATCCATACTTTCGGTAAAGTCACGTAGGTGAAAAATATATATATAAGAATAAAATTAAAAATAAAATAACTAAATTAAATCACGACGTTTCGATTGCAACACATGTAATCATCATCAGGTGTGGAAATCACAGCTCGAAAATTGTTACTTTAGTAAAAAAAAATACTTTAGTAAACATTTTAAATTATTAATTATTTTATTTTTTACTTATTCTTATTTTATTTTATTATTCTTTTTTGACCTACGTGACTTTACCGAAAGAAACCAAAGAGAATGTACACGTTGTTGTTGTTGTTGTTAAACATGTTGAAATTACCTGGGTCTCCGTATTTTCAGATGGCTCTGTGCTGGAAAGGGAGACAAAGTGATACCGGATTATAAGACGCACCTCCAACTATTGATTATCACCCGATAATGTTGTTGATGTATGTGGTTGTTGGTATAGTTGTTGTGGGTAGGGTTGTTGTTGTGGGTATGTTTGTTGTTAGTTGGTATGGTTGTTGTACGTGGGTATGGTTGTTGTTGTGATTGTTGTGGGTATGGTTGTTGTGATTGTTGTGGTATGGTTGTTGTTGTGAGTTGGTTTGTGGTATGGTTGTTTGTGGGTATGGTTGTTGATATGATTGTTGTGGGTATGGTTTGTTGTTGGTGGGTATGGTGTTGTTGTGATTGTTGTAAGTATGGTTATTGTTGTGGGTATGTTTGTTTGTTGTTGTGTTTGTTGTGATTGTTGTTAATGTAATTGTTGTTGTGGGTATGGTTGTTGTTGTGATTGTTGTGGGTATGGTTATTGTGGGTATGGTTGTTATGATGTTGTGATTGTTGCGGTTATGGGTTGTTGTTGTTGTGGGTATGGTTGTGGGTATGTTTGTTTGTTGTTGTTGTGATTGTTGTTAATGTAATTGTTGTTGTGGGTATGGTTGTGGTATTTTGTTTGTTGTTGTTGTGATTGTTAATGGAGGTGGTTGTGGGTATGGTGGTGGGTAGGTTTGTTGTTGTGGTGGTGATTGTTGTTAAGGTATTTGTTGTGGGTATGGTTGTGTTGTGGGTATGGTTGTGGGTATGGTTGTTGTTGTGTTTGTTGTTGTTGTTGTCGATGTGGTTATCGGTGACCGCGTCCTCCTACCGTGCAGCGGGCGACGTCCCCGAACTAACGACGCCGGCGGCGCGCGCTGCTGAACGTTGCACAAAGCTAAAGGGGCCCCGTGTAGGCTCGCCAGGTCGCCGGGGCAAGTGCAGTTAGCGAGTGTCGCGCCTGGCATGAAGGGCGAGATCACGAGACACGATGGTGGCGAGAGTTACACATCGCGGCACTCACTTGAGGCTGAGCCGACGTAGGGGGGGGGGGAGGCCCAGGACCGGTGTTGGTCGTGAGCGGGAATCGAACTCGGGTCCGTCGGGGTTCGTAGCGCAGCGCGCTAACCGCTGCGCCACCGCTCTCTCTGTGCTTGTCCACTACGCCACAATCTCAGACTGTTGGGGCAAGTGCTGTGAGCGAGCATCTGTCAAGGCCGGCACGGCACACGAGGGGGTGGGTGGCCACACATACACACGTGTACAACACACACACACGTGTATTTCCCTCCCCCAGGACCTCACAGAAATGCTCAGCAAATCTGCAAACCTGTTCCTGGGGGTCGGAGATTGGATCACCGTTTTTCCTCTAATGATGGTAATAGGTGTGGCGCTGCAGGTTACTTTTTTGATGGAGCTAACAAGTGATTTGTGATCGCGGGCCACTGAGGCAGACTCCATCTCCTCAGCAACCCGCGACCACCACCCATCCTTGCAGCGCCTTACGGCTCTCCGAACTTCCGAGCGAAGGCTGCGGTAAGCCTCCTCAATCTCTGACGTGGGATGCTGTAGGCGATGCGAGTGGGCCTGTCGCTTTTTCCTCAATTAACCTGAACACCTTCTCTGTCAGCCAGGGTCTCTGGGAGGTCTGGACCGCGTACCCAAAGCAGCCATTGCAGCTGCATGAGTCACAGTCTTAAACCTCGCCCATTTACCCTCGACATCAGGTGGAGTGGGGGACGATGCCAACCCCAGCTGCAAGCGATGATGAAATTCTCGCTTGCAACTTTCATCAGCTGAGACCAGGCCACTTTTGGTTGGAATGGGATCCTGGGTGTACACCCACCACCGGAGTGGTACACACACACACACACGCGTGTACACACACACACACGTACACACACACGTGCACGCACACACACACGTGTAACACACACACGTGTACAACACACGCACACGCACGTACCACACGTGCACACACACGTGCACACACACACACGTACACACAAACGCGCACAATAGTTGCGAACCGCCGACTTTCGCGTTGTACACAAACGCACGTGTCGCGCCTTTCATTTAAAATCGCGCTCCTCCGCCCCCCCCCACCCTTTCCTCGTCGCCACCCGTAGCCGGTCTCTCACCGACCCAGCATCGTTTTTGAACGCGGCGGCGCGCACGTGTTGAGCAAGGTGATGGGGTCAGGGGGTGGGGGGCACTGGGGGGGGGGGGGGGGGCAATGGGCAACAGGGGGGGGCAGTGGGTTGGGGGGGGCAATGGGGGTGGTGTGGGATCAATGGGTGGGGGTGATTGGAGGGGCACTGGGGGGTTGGGGGGGGCAATGGGTGGGGGTGATTGGAGGGGCACTGGGGGGTTGGGGGGGGCAATGGGTGGGGGTGATTGGAGGGGCACTGGGGGGTGGGGGGGCAATGGGTGGGGGTGATTGGAGGGGCACTGGGGGGTGGGGGGCAATGGGTGGGGGTGGTTGGAGGGGCACTGGGGGTTGGGGGGGGGCAATGGGTGGGGGGTGATTGGAGGGGCACTGGGGGGTGGGGGGCAATGGGTGGGGGTGGTTGGAGGGGCACTGGGGGGTTGGGGGGGGCAATGGGTGGGGGTGGTTGGAGGGGCACTGGGGGTTGGGGGGGGGCAATGGGTGGGGGTGATTGGAGGGGCACTGGGGGTTGGGGGGGGCAATGGGTGGGGGTGGTTGGAGGGGCACTGGGGGTTGGGGGGGGGCAATGGGTGGGGTGATTGGAGGGGCACTGGGGGGTGGGGGGCAATGGGTGGGGGTGGTTGGAGGGCACTGGGGGTTGGGGGGGGCAATGGGTGGGGGTGATTGGAGGGGCACTGGGGGTTGGGGGGGCAATGGGTGGGGGTGATTGGAGGGGCACTGGGGGTGGGGGGGCAATGGGTGGGGGTGGTTGGAGGGGCACTGGGGGGTGGGGGGGGCAATGGGTGGGGGTGATTGGAGGGGCACTGGGGGTTGGGGGGGGCAATGGGTGGGGGTGGTTGGAGGGCACTGGGGGGTTGGGGGGGGGCAATGGGTGGGGGTGGTTGGAGGGGCACTGGGGGGTTGGGGGGGGCAATGGGTGGGGGGTGATTGGAGGGGCACTGGGGGGTTGGGGGGGGGCAATGGGTGGGGGTGATTGGAGGGGCAACTGGGGGGTTGGGGGGCAAGGGGGGGGGTGGTTGGAGGGGCACTGGGGTTGTTGGGGGGGAGGCAATGGGTGGGGGTGATTGGAGGGGCACTGGGGGTGGGGGGCAATGGGTGGGGGTGATTGGAGGGGCACTGGGGGGTTGGGGGGGGCAATGCGGTGGGGGTGATTGGAGGGGCACTGGGGGGGTTGGGGGGGGCAATGGGTGGGGGTGATTGGAGGGGCACTGGGGGGTTGGGGGGGGCAATGGGTGGGGGTGATTGGAGGGGCACTGGGGGGTTGGGGGGCAATGGGTGGGGGTGGTTGGAGGGGCACTGGGGGTTGGGGGGGGCAATGGGTGGGGGTGATTGGAGGGGCACTGGGGGGTGGGGGGCAATGGGGTGGGGTGATTGGAGGGGGCACTGGGGGGTGGGGGGGGGGGCAATGGGTGGGGGTGATGGAGGGGCACTGGGGGGTTGGGGGGGGCAATGGGTGGGGGTGATT